CGCGATTCTGCATGTGAAACTCGAACTCAGAAACTTTTGTTACACATGCTAACATTGGGCCGGCATCGAACGGTGTTAATGTCTCATTTCAATCGATTCATGACCTTGCGCAACCGTTTATCGATTATCTGAGATTGATAATTGTCTCCACTCGATACGGGCTGGGCTCCACTCCTATTTAACTAATTGAGGGAATTAATTAATTTCTTCTTAGCATTGAGGTATTCCAGAGATTACTCATTTTGTAGTTTTCAATTGATTTCGTTTGGGGTTAACATTTTTTATTCAAGGTTGTTTACGCAAGCAAGTTTTAAATTGGTGACTGACTTTAGCTAGATAACTGTAAAACTCCACTTGTCAATCATCATAGATGTCACACAAGTGTCACTAAATGCATTTAATATTAGTCGCACAATATGCGACATGTAAACTAACTGATGTCGATTCAATAGATCATTCAGTAGACATTCTTTTCAAAAATGAAGAATATTTGAGCGAACAATTGTTTTCAATAAATTCATCATCAGGCTCTACAGTCATAAGTCCATAATTATTGTGATATTTTAAAGGCCAAAATAAAGCATGTATTAGTGAATTTGACAGTGCTGTTGCTGTGACTTGTAAACCCAGCTAATTATCACGTGATTTATTCGCCAATCGAAATGCAACTTATACAATCTTGTTACTGTGCCAAACCAATGACTTTTGACCGGTATGGACAGCCAAGCGTCCTTATTGGTCCTTTGTTCTCCTGACTCTTCCAGTTAAGTTCAGAGTGCCGATAACAGCTTCCGCTATGCGAATTATTTATTTCAAACATACTTGGTTTATATATAAGCCAAACAGACCTCATCACACCATAAGATAGGAATTAATATTTATAGATTAAGCCAAAAAGTGGCTGTGAATGTGGGAGGTTGTAATCAATAAACTAAGTATAATTTTAGAATAGTAAATCGTATCATAATAGTCTATAGATCCAAATAAAGCGTACAATATGAGGAGTACAGATATACATAATCTAGTTACTCAATAGTTATACAATAAGAATATATATATATATATATATATATATATATATATATATATATATATATATCCGTAATTTAATCTTCATTAGGATATAAAAGTTATATATTAAAAATGATGAATATTTGCATCTGTTACAACACATATACCTCGAAATTTTGTTATTTGTAAATTACAAAGGTCATTTAATAAAGGTCTGAATAATTTGGAGTAGTGTCAAGGCACAATCAGAATATCACAAGGTGAAAATGGAAAAAAAATCATGTGAATAAAATGCATAGTAGGAGAATTTCGTCATGTTAATCGAGGTAGTAATAATAATAATATCGTTGTGTGAACGTGATATGTAATAAGGGGGGTGTTGTCAAGGTAATTACTGTCAAAAGAATTCACGTGAATTGGAAAAGATAAGTGTGTAGATTAAGAAAGTTATCAACACAAAAAGAATTGGGAAGGGGTAAGAAGTATATAAGATTTAGTTTAGGTATCAGGGGGTTCAGTCGTGAGCCAAGGTAAACATAAAGGTTGAATATATTCCTTCTGGATATATAAGTTCGGTTTTTAGGAGTTAGTCCAGATGGCTTCAGTTATATGTAGAGTAGCTATAATCTAGCTCTTTGAGGTAGAATTTTTGGAACTCGGTATAAAACAAAGAAAGCTTCCTCCATTTTAATATGATGTTCACTATATACCAAGTGAGAAAGGTACAGTTAATCGACTTAGTAACTCCCTTTCCCAACCATGCCGGGACATGTTCATGAATACGCAAAGATAAAGCCCTCTGAGTACGGCCTATGTAACGAGCTCCACAGGAGCAGTTGAATTGGTTTACACATATGGAGGAGCACATCATCAACAACCTATCCTTAATTTGTTGTTTGTAAGAACTTGTTTTGTTGGAGGAATTGTGTGTAACCTGGTGTCACGAAACGTCCTTTCAACAGATCTTTTGAGTCGACGTGTTAAAATGTAACCCGCTACGTCCTCGTTAAAGTCCAGTTTCAGATACAGGGTTTTTTTTACTCATCGAGTCACAGTTTCTTGTTTTTTAATACCTCCTAATAGGAATTTTCAGACGAAATTATCTGGATAGTCGTTATTTCGTTATGTTTTTCAGTGTGTCTTTCTCTATATCTACTCTATCTTCAGAACATAATTATCTGATTCTGTGGCTGAGACATTTAACCAAATTTGTTTTGTATTGAAGAAGTGTAAAGCCATGGAAACGAGTATATTGACCCGTTCATGCACTCTTTCTAAATATAGTTCTTTTTATGGAATCTAGAAATTAGGATATAAAGGCAAGTTATAATACTGACGTTCTCTTCTTCGCTGGTGAATTTAATAATTGGATGGACGTTACTGAAACAGTTCAGCAGCTTTGTTTGTGGATACTTTCGTCACACGCGATTAGTGTGTCATCTATGTATCGGCGGTAATAATCTAACTTATTTAGTGTGTCTTTCGAATTACGATCAGGCATAAGAGTGGTCCGATTGCACTCCATCTATTTGTCTGTAAAATTCAGTGTTAAACATAGAGTAGATATGCACAGTAAATTTCAACAAAGGCTCCTTCATTTTATTTATTGGGATCGGCATCTCTATTTTCTTTTCTAGCAGTTGTTCACATATGTAATCAATAGTTTCATTTAGTGGGATGTTAGTCGAAAAAGATGTTATGTTTAGTGACAATATGGTTTGGCTATTTATGTTCTTTTTTCATTGTACCCACAAGTTCGAATACGTCTTTAACGCTGTACTTAACCAGTTATTGGTGTAATGGTTCTAACAATCTCACCAACCATTTTGTTATTGAATGTTATGGTGAATTTGACTTGTCTAGAATTGAGCGTAAATGAATCTCAGGTTTACGAATCACAAGTATGCCATAGAGTCGGGGGATATGTGTTGTTTTATTGATCATCATGTCACTTGCTTATGGTTTATAAGTGTAGTTTCAAATAATTGCTGATCAATCAGTAATCCTGACTCATTACCCATGGATAGTACCCATCTTTTCAAAATATTTGGTTGATCGAACACATAAAGAGGCTTCAAATAATTTTTTGTTAAATACATTTAATACCAAAATGTTTCTGAGTTGTTTCACAGTTCATCCTCTCACTGAATCAGTCACAACATTGCTGTAGTTGTCACATTGGAACTAAACATTTGACTTTACTCCTTGATATAATTATTTCTCTTCACTTTTATATCAATCTTTTTCAACCAATGCGATCATATAACATATTCATTTCGACAGTGGTTTCTTAAATATACTGTTCATACTTAAAATGGGTTGTTTCACTGTGATCCACTAAGAAAAAGAATTCAAAAAGAATTTGGCTTGTTTATATTTAATTCAGAATGTAAAACCAAACAATAGTTATACTATGGAATTCATAGTATTATTTCATTATCTGTAATAATCTACACTCTACCACTCATAACTGACCACGTTATTAAGGAAATCGTATGAGGTTATCTGTTCATTTGTCAGTGTTAAATAAAAGTGTAATATCTAACGTTTTCAAAACATTTTTGCGTTCATTTAGCGGGTGAGTACTGGATATGAGATGATAATTTTCATTGCGAGTTTTATTTCAATTGGTTAAAGATATCTACATATGTCTTCTATGAATACGTCACTATAATGTATCACAATCTACTAGATGAGAAGAGCAAATAAAGTGGAAATTACAGCTTGAATTGTAATCTTTATTGAAATTTATGCTCTTATGTACATTAATCACACATCAAATGAGCGGAAATTATCTAAAAATACTTGATATCAGACGCATATTGAAAATTGTAAAACGAATGTTCTGTAAAATCACAAGGATGTATCCTGTTTCGGAAAACCTAGTACCATATTTCAGATTAATAAAAAGCTTGTTTAATCACTAATTTACTGGAACAATTAGTTCAATAAATTATATAACCTGAACTGTTTATTGATTCCATTAGGATATATTAATCAATAATAATACTAAACTATAAACCTAATAACACTAACCCTGGGTAAGAATAAACTCCACTCTCGTTTGCAGTTTTGACCTTGCACTTGGTAACCGATCAAAATAAAGTGGAAATAATTATTTACACTATCGTAATCAGTGATGGAGAGCGTTTCGTTCTCTGTAGTTTTGCTGGCTTACATGAAAAATATAAAGTTTTCTATGATAAAAATAGCACTTCATCGTGCTACGGATGTGTCAAGTAAGTCATGATTTAACAAAATCTACAGCACAGCAAAAGACATATGTTCTATTAATTCTATGGTAGAAGTTATTTCAAAACGTAAACGTAAATAATTAACTGGAAAACACACAGATAACATCAAAAAAGGTTTTGTGGATATTATAGTAATTCTAATAGCTGAGATCATAAGTCAATTGAAACTAGACCACCATGGAAAACCTGGAAGCACTGGACGGCCATTTCGTCCCATTGTGGGATTTCTTAGTAGTGCGCATCCACGATCCCGCCCGGCGAGATTTGAACTTACGGCCTATCGGTCTCGCTTGCGATCGTTTAGCAGTAAATGTTATTCATAACTGAGATTTCAACAACTGATCAGTTCAAACTGTATCTTTATGGAAAAAAAGGCATGTTAGATCTCTTATTTTCCCATAATCTCAACATGCTTTCTAGTCATACTTATTGTGGTTTATACTGATTAACTCATTCTTCACCTTTATATAAATCAAGTGAACAATCATTATTTTCACCTTATTCCATATCACTACCTTTCATATTATTATGGGATTTATACTATTAATGACGCGGCCACTTTGTATTTTACTGTAAATTACTATGTATAGAAATAACTATTCATACAATTGTACAGGAATAATAAATGAACCACCAAAAATAAACTTTTTATCGCTAAACGGTATTCATTATTGATTACATAATAAGAGAAAAGTATAACAAACTTTGTTTAACAAATTTATCATTTCATTTTAGTTAATGGAAGCTAATCAAAAACTGGTATGCAAATGTCATGGAGTTAGTGGTAGTTGTGCTCAACGTGTTTGTTTCCGTCAACTTCGACGAATCGATACAGAATTAATGCAAAAAGCATTAAAAATGAGATATTTAGTAAGTTTAAATAAAATAAATTTGTGTACATTTCACATTGTTGATTAATCAACAAATTAATATAAAATATACTTAACAGTATTAAATTTAGTGTTTATCAGATTTGTTTTCATTTGTTTATCCATGAATTTTCAGAATGACTAATGAATGAATATTTTTCTAGACAGTCTGTATCATTGTTTGATAGCAGTTAGATAATAATTGAAGACTATGAAATACAGGACATATATTTCATCTTAGTATGGGGTTCGTCAATTGTATGTATCCAAGATCTTACCGAAAACCTTCGGTTTTACGGTGTTCACTTAACCTCTGTACCCAATGAGATGAAATTCAATGTTATACGTGTCTAACTTTTCTGAATTCATAACATTATATGACAAATTTTGATTGCCCAGGGTAAGTAACTATCTGACGCCTGTTATACTCTAATTGTGCTAGTTATGGCTTCTCACTATGACTCCTGGAATTACATTTAGAAGCTAGTACATAATTGTTAAAGATATTCTTTTTATCTATCCTTACTTTCATTATTGATATATTTTTATTCTCATTTTCTCGAAAATAAGGCAGCCAAACAGGTTTCGGAAGGTAAAAATGGTGAATTAATCGCTAAAACATTTATTGGTAATGGATTTATCGATGAAGTAGTAAAACCTGAAGAATTGGTATTTAGTGAACATTCACCAGATTATTGTAATGTAGAACCTCAAAGAGGTTCTGTTGGTACACGAGATAGGTAAGTTATAAAAATACCATGTGATGTGTAAGTAAATAAGTTTCTATGCGTATCGTTTCCTGTAAAATTGTTCATTGAAAGAAACTTAATTATATTAAACAATAGATTTATGGTGAAAATATTCATTAGTCAGAATAACAGCGAAATGTAAATGTAAGTTCACATTGTTAGAATTAGTCAAAGGTTCAAAGATACATTAATGATTTTGAGATAATAATTTGTTTGAGTATTATGTCAAAATAATTCAGCTCAATCAAATGATAAGCATTTTCACAGATTTTGTTTCTGTAAATTTCAATCATTATATTAATAAGAGGATTATAATGCTAACATATTATCACATTATCTCTCTTACAGTTCCTCAAAGACATATGTAAAGTTATAATTTGAACGACAGTTGAGCTATCGTGTCACACAGATATAGCTAAAACCTGTCAATCTTTAACTAGGTTAAGATTAACGGCTAAATAGAAAATAAAATACAAGACCAAGCTAAAAGTCATGATCTTTAAGTTGTTATAAATTTAATACGGTCAATAAATGAAATGCGAATATCAGAATTTTCGACTATACAGGGTGATTGTGTATTCTCTTTAAGTCAAATCACTTGCTGAAAACATTTTACGTTATTTCTCATTTGTAAACAGAATTTGTACATTGAAAGATACGGGGACATCAAGTTGTGTGAATATGTGTTGTGGTCGTGGTTACAGAAATGTGACCAAACGAGAAATTGTTCAATGTAACTGTCGAATGGCCAATGGATTCAAAGTGCAATGTGATGAATGTAATATTGAAACTGTAACTCAGAGATGCTTATGAATGCACTTAGCAACTTATTAGATGTTAAATACCGAAGAAAATTCTCCAGGGTCATGATTTAAATCAGCTAGAACAATTTCATGATAGCAGACTATGCATGTGGTGTACACATCTTATGTTTTTAATTTTCTTAAAAATACTGTACTACTTAAAAATTGTAAGTAATTTATTATGGAACCATTATATTTAGACCATATCAATCACGGTTATGTACATATATCTTTCTAACTTTGCATGCTAAGCCAAATCCATGTTACTTATTATGCTAAAAAAATACGCCAACCAAATCTTATTTTTTGCAAACATATATCACCACAGACAACCACAAATTACATAGTAAGTTAGGATTAAATTTTGAAGAGAGTGAAATGAGTGAAAAGACGTGATGTATTTGGTCTTTTGTAACAAATAACGAGTCTTTGATTATATCAAGTTCTGCGTACATGAGATGTTCTATCAATAATATGATTAGGTTTGACAGAGCTTAGGTATTCATTGATGTATCAGCGAATACTTTAATAATATAGAACGTTTTGTTGGCTAAAATCTCAACAGAAATGTGAATCGGCAAAATACTACTTGTCATGAATATTTATTAATTTCTGGTTCGCGTTAACTAATCGCCATATTTTGCAGATTTCAATGTCTTTTTCTGTGCATATAGCCGGATTCTGTCAACTGAACTGTGGAATGATACCCGTTTATGTTTAAAAAATAAAGTTTGAAAAAAAGTTGGTCATTGTAAGAGTTCGTTAACACGATTCTATACAAATTCCAAATTAATCTTAATGAAAATAATGAATTCCTTATTGTTTGCGTATTCGCTTTGTCGATCAGTATCTAGATATTCAAAACAAAAACATTTAGTCAGTGATAATTAATGTAGAATCTGGATACTTACGATTCGGAGCAAGTTGCAATGACATATCATTGAAACGTGATGAAATTGACAAAATAACTCCAGATAATTAGAATTTGTAATAATATCAGCGAAAGTTGAAAAAATTCGACGTAGACGATATGACCAAAAGTTAAAAAGTAAATTTGTGGAATAAAAGGCATACAGTAAATTTAAAACCCAAGACTCTAAAGAAGACGAACAGTGAATGCATCTCTTCCATTGAGAAACATTCTGAACTATAACATCAAATCGTAACTAACTATTGATTAGGAAAATTACAATATGGTGAAAAAGATTTGTAGCTCAGGGGATGTCCTTTGAGCTCAAAGAGCAAAGCTCCATCGAAATTACCCTATATCCAAAAAGGTAACCCACATCTACTAAGATGGCTCAACTCAACTATCAATGACCTTATTGACTGAGGCTAGATCTAGCTTCCATCTAACCTACTTCTACACCAGACAGCATACCGCGTCGAGGTAGTTGATGGCTGTATATAAGTGATACATATCCAAACAACCTCAGTGGATGAAAATGTACTACCTCATTACATAAACAGTCACCTTTACCCGTTACTTTAAGTCTAACCTAAGCTTGGCTCAACATTCTCGAGGAATGTTTTGAAGGTATTTATTATTAAACACTGGCAATATTCGAAAATCCTCTGTATTTAGAGACAATGTTTCATAAAGGTAAAGAAAAACTAAGTGAAATGCTTTGCAGCATACTCGTGTCCCGAGTGATACAAGTTGATGAAAGCCAAGAGAGTCTGAATCCATTTCGAGATTTCAACGGACAACAACCTACAATAACTGATGAAACTTCCCCCATAGGTTTTGTGGTCAACTTCATTAAGTACTTCACCCCCTATCAGTAATATAGTAGTAGGTGAAAACCAGTTCAGAAGAAAGATTTTGCACTTAGAGGGATAGAAATGAATCTATATATGCTTACATTGCCGCCAAAAAGGATCAAAAGACTATATTTCTTCAGTTTCTTTACCAAATAATACTACGTAATTTCTGTGTTTTAAGTTAAGAAGTGAACATTTTGGTAGGAGATCAATCCACAGGTAATTAGACAAAGAAATGATCATCACTAAAAGAATATCTACGACGAAATTAGATAAAAATGAGGAAAGCGTACAATCCTCATAAACATCACGAAACGTTTTCAATTCTGATGACAATTCTCTATGAACTCTTAGTAGACTTTTAGTAGTAGAGCTTATGATTCTTCAAAATAAGCGAATTTTTTTCGACGAAATCATTTGCTTAAGTTGTACATTCGTATTTACAGTTGTTTGTTAAATATATATAACTGTAGAAAGATACAAAATATTGCATCGTAGAGTGATTCGAGATTTCAAACATCAAATGAGGTTGAGTATTAATCAGGGGGTTAGAGAAGAATGTGAGGATGTAGCGGTTACTTTTCAAACGCATCCAAGAACATTACCCGGTGTGGCTTTTAAAAGAAGAATTCAAAACAATCATCAGTTTAATACAGGAGCACTTAGTCAACTCTGGACACATCGCTTCAATGTAGTGTTCCTTCAAAATAATCTACTTATTTAAAGGAACTAGGTCGAAATGAGGCTGTCACAAAAACTTATGCACTGTTAAGGCGTAGGAGATCCACTAATTCAAGTTCAAACCTGTGTGCACAGACGACACGTCTAACCTCTTATACTTTCTTGGGACTAATTCCCTTCCGAAGCATGCTTTAGTCTTGTTTTATTCTTATTATTGTTTTGTAATTTCAAACCGTAATCAGTTATTATTATCCTTTACAATTTTTCATGATCCTCATTCAGTTATTATTATAACCACTATGTTTTTCATTTTTCTTCAAGCGGACAATTATCTTTCACAATTCTGGCCCGTAAGTTATTTTTATTCTTCTATTCTTCTCTTACCCCTTGATTATTGCATAACCTCATTTGATAATAAGAGTCTCAAATCAATTTATAATGTAATCTTTTCTATTCTTCTATCGACATTTATTTACCACACAAGTAGAAATACGAATGTACAACTTGAGTAAGTGATTTTGTCGAAAAGAAAATTTTCTTCGCTGAATTCTTTTTATTTTTATTTATTGACACATTGATTTATTTTAATTATCCAAAGGATATTTGTTAATTGCTGGTGTTTTACCAGTATTTTATTAGTATTTTCAATCTCGTATGCTTTTGGAATTACTCGATACTAGCTTTTATGATATCGCCATAAAACGGGGTGAGGATGTTACAATTCAGCGTTCAGTTTATCGAAAAGATACATGGAATGGTGTTTATCTGAATTTCAATAGCTTCTTTCTGTTAGTTGTAAAAAGACACTTATCAAAACTTTATTTCACAGAACAGAAAGAATAGTACCACCGATACACTAGAAGTCAAATTAATGAACGCTAAAAAATTGCCTTATGAACAAAGAGTATCCAAAGACATTTATTGGGAAAAGTTAGGACAAAAGTTCTAAAGAAACTACAGTAGACAAGAAACACTCACCTTGGAGCAAAAAATGACGGTGTTGCAGTGACAATAAACAAGATTGAAAACCACACTGAACAGAGTATCTCCTGGAGCCAAACTGATTATCTTGTATAAAACATGTTCTTTACTCCAATTGAGAATTGATAGTTAGTTCTTTCAAGTTACCGTAAACTGGGTACATAGGTTTATATGTACCTGCTAAAGCAATTACATTGATAGAACAGAAAGAAGGCCCTACTTTTGGACTAAAGAATATATCCCAAACAGTCTCAGATCAATAGGATTAAAGGGTTTTAGCACTGTATTTTACAGGCGAAAGTAAGTAAGCAAGTAAGCACTGTATTTTCTGGACATCTCTGTAACACAGGGCATCAAGTCGATATACTGAAATCTTTCAGAATCATCAATCGACAGTTACATTTCATTCCGTTCAATTTTGCCAATGTCATAGCCATGAAACATTTAAAACTGGGCTTATGCATCTAAAAAATGTTATAAATCTTTGCTTTTATGTCGACTTTATTATCAGTTTATTATATCATTCTTACAATATTTTCTCTCTTATTCCGATTGCATCACTTCTTTCACGTTCATAATTTTGTATTTAATTGACTGACTTCAACCTGTTTAATTCTTGATTACTATTAATTTTTGTACACATAGTTCCCTTTATTATCTTAAAGAGAGCAAGAACAAAGATTGGTGCAGAATAATATGAATTCATTTTATTTCGTTAGGTTCTCATCAGCTGCTTACAACCTTAAATATTTGGAAATCAACGTTATTACAGATAGTGACATATTTATACATAAGAGGGTGATTAAAAATGAATAAATGTATCATGGTGTAGCGAAGATTCCGATAGAGTTAATGAGGTCATAAAATTTTGTCTCGAAGAAATAGAGTTTGGGAGGGAAAGTTCCAGAACATCGAAATAGTGATTAGAACTCATGAAAATAGATTAATGGTAATACAGAAAAAATATGAATTGAAATCAGTCAGATATATATGATGCAATTTAAACTTTAGAAAGAGTTGGAATAATGACACAATAAATAAATAAATAAATAAGTTCTTTGACACAATTACAGGTCGACAGGTATCGCTTTCATGTTACCACCAACTGTGTATACAAATTCACATGTATCTGCCAAAGCAGTTACATTGGTAGAACAGAAAGGAGAGCCTACGTCCGATTCAAAGAACATATTCCGAAAAGCTTAACATCAAATGGATTGAAAGCATTCAACAGTGCCATCGCAAAACATTTCCTTGATACAGGACACGAAGTTGACACACTGAAGTCCTTCAAGGTGAATATTAAACAATCAAGCTCCAACCTTCTGAAATTTACTGAAGCATTAGCAATCAAACGTCTAAAAGCAGACTTATGTATACAAAAAGAGACGGTAATAAATCTTTCTTTACTCTGGTAACAATAACACTTTTTATTCATTTATTTATATTTGATTATTTATTTATTGCGTTATTATTGCAACTTTCTGTAGTTAGATTACATCATACATAACTGAATGATTTCAATTCATATTTTTTCTGTATTACCATTAATCTATTTTTATGAGTTCTAATCACTATTTCGAT